GTCAAGGGCATGTACCTGGGTTGTGGGCACATCCCCAGTAGGAGATGTTCGGGAGGCAGCTAATCGATGTTTCTCTCTCATTGATATTTCTAACTCTCTATCTCTCTCCCTTCCTCTCTGTAAAAAATCAATAAAATATATTTTAAAAAAACAAAACAAAAAAAAAGCAAACAAACAAAAAAAATCAATAAAGTATATATTTTTTTAAAATCTTTCTGGTAGGGTCTCTATTTTTTTAACAGGAAACTGTGCTCATAGAGACTGCCTTGTTACAACTACAGTCATGTGCTTCATGGAATCTAATTAGATTATACCATTAGAGTCTTAAGATTTTTATACTTCCCTTTTTGAAGACCACTTGGTGCTTTTGAAGAATTAACAGTTTTGTGAACAGTGCTTGTGATTCATTCTTCCATTGAGACCAAGGGCAGAACCATGCAGTCACTCAACTGCAGGACACACAGATGGCCAGTGTGTGGCAGTGTTTAAATGCTCTTCAAAAGTTGATACCACCGCTCTGCATTGATTACAAATGCATCCCAGGGTTATATTTTTCTTTTGTTACTGCTCAGTTTGCCAAGGTTTGTTTGCCAAACAGAATATGAAAAATGAACATGAGATTTTCTTGCATAATTCTTAATAGATATATGATCAAAATGTAAGCTCAATTGCTTAAGAAAATCATAAACATGATTTTTTTATTTTTTAAATATATTTGTATTGATTTCAGAGAGAAAGGGAGAGGGAGAGAAGCATCAATGATGAGAGAGAATCATTGACCTGCTGCCTCCTGCACTCCCCCTATTGGGGATCAGGCTACCCTGACAAGGAATTGAACTATGACTTCTGGTTCATAGGTAAACAACACTCAACCACTGAGCCAGGCCAGCCGGCCATCATAAACACAATTTAGTCACTCAATATGGCTGTAAATAGGTTGTTACTGTGGAGTATCTTGGTATGGACAAAGTATTATTTTCACTGAAAATTCTGAAGACCAAGGTTCTTTTCCCCCCAATAATACTTAAAAACAAACAAACAACAACAAAAAATACATGCACACACACACACACACACACACACACATTTTTTGGTACAAGAGAAAAGTAAGGAGACATAATAACTAAATGTAACATGATATTCTGGATGGGATTTTGGAACAGAAAAAAGGACATCAAGTAAAAACTAAGGAAATGTGAGTAAACTATTGACTTTAGTTAATAACAATGTATCAATAGGGGAGACAAATGGTGAGAGAAAATAAATAAAGTATCAATGTTAGTTCACTATTTGTAACAAATGAACCACAAAAATGCAAAATGTTAATACTGTGGTAGGGAAGCTGTGCAGGGAGGTAATATGGGAACTTCCTGTACTATTGATTCATACTGTAAA